CCAAATACTGTTGTGTAAGAAAACTGAAACACTGCAATACAGAACAAATGTAGATCTTCAAATAAAGTGTACTTTCGATCTTCATAAACATATTCAAAAGGCTGCATACAAATTTTAATTTGTACTTTAAAAAGTTCAAAGATGAAGTAAATATTTGTAAGAATAGGGTTAATTAATTTGCAATGGACATTTAATACAACTTTCTTATCTCTTTATAAAAGTTAAATCACATCTTTTCCATACTTACATGACTGGAGAAAAGCTGTTTTAAGGTCAGCATGCTTGTTTCTAACTCTCTCCACCATGTGGTGAAAATGTGCTATAGAAATAAATATAACAAAAAATATAATATTCACTTCATCAGTCTAACATGTATATCAACATCCTAATAAACAAAAGATTTGGTACAAATGATGACAACACTTTTATCAACAAGCAATTAAATAAACACACACACACACACGACCCTACGTACATTCTTTTATTCAAAGTCAATAAAAGTATTTACTACAGAATACTTATCATATAAAAATACATACACATTGACCCCTCAGTTTTACTTACCAACCCCAAAAAATAGAGGAGCCAGAAACACTGCAGTGCCAGCACCGACAGAAGGGATGAGTAAAGGGATCATACAGGCTCTGAATATGAACTCTTCTGAAAATGGGGCCTAGGTAACAAAACTTCACATCAGTTATGGCATAGGAAAGGCTCTCATTACAAAAATATACAAACTAAGGCAATATTCTTAATATACTATACCTATTACTTTTAATCAATTTTATTCAATTATACATTGCAAGGTGAGCACCAATAATTGTATTGTTTGTTTTGGTAGGACAGAAAGAGTTTAAACTTACAATAGGGACTTTTTACTCAAGTAACACAGTCACTATCCATTCCTACTGCCACAGAAAATACATCAATATAAACCTACCACAACATGATTTCTTAACCATATTAAGTTCTTCATATTAGCTTGCCAGTACTTGGGTTCTGGAAAAATAATTTGTTTTCAAACACAAATCAAATTGCACAAAAAAATAATCAGTATATCAACCTCTTTGATCCTACAATCTTCATATGTCAAAATGACTTGTACTGTACTAAAATACCACAAAATCTTTTTCTTTCCAAAAAACATACCTAAATACAATTTAAGCACCCCATCCAAATAGAACAGTGTTAGTGGACCTAGAAACAAAACCTGAAAAACAAAAAGAAACCAATGGAAAGATATTTAAGATTTTATTTCTTTTCTACATCATTCACTGAATTAAAATGCTCCATATTTGTGACAAAAAAATTACAATAATTTTAATAATAAATGGCAAAGCAAAGGATTTACCTACAAGGGCTATAAAATTTATTTACATTATCATATTTCAAGTTTCCCTTGTTTCAAAATAAGGTACTGCTTTCAAAAAGAACTGTTCAATAGTATCAATAGTCAATAGTTATATTTTATGTAAAAGCTTAGCAAACTTCTGTGTTGTAAATTTAGTGTTTGCCCATCCAAAGTATGAATAGATCACAAAACATATTTTTAAGCTTGCCCCTTTAAGCACAAACGCTGCCAGTAAGTCAGCTGCAGAACTAATGTTCCAGATGTGTACATGATAGAAAACCAGACTCCCCAACATCGTACACAGCTTAACTTCAATCCCATCCACACCATCCAGAAATAAACCAAATGAGTCACCAGACCAATAGATCATATGCTGGTCTTAATCAGCTATTTTAAACCGAAAGTAGACAATTAGGATCTCTGACTGGTACCAAAAATAGGAATAAATCTTGACCTTGGGTGAATGAGCCTTTAATGCTTATCTTCCCAATGCATTACTGAACAAAGCAGATAGCATAGACTTAGTAAAAGAAAAGTAATTCCAAATGGAATTTTGTACTGGATTATTTATCAATTATCTAAGGGAAAATAGTAATAATTTATGGAAGCAAATAAAGGCCCTTTATCTATAATCATGTTTCAACTTACAATAGTCAGAAACAGTGGTAAAACAGCTGCCATGATGGTTCCTGAGAATCTTACTCCTAGCCACGTCATGAGGCTGTGACCCTGATATAAGAAATTCAATTAAATTTAAAAAGTTTAAGTGTGATTAATTCAATGCAATATAACCTTTAACAGGTCATACACTATGCCAAATTGTTTATAACAGATATCAAATAATAAATCACCTTTCACTCACAAATATGAGTTCAAAATCACATTAATCTTTTGAATTCTTCTCTTCAGACATCTTACCACTAAAATAAAGAATTAAAATTAAACTTGGATTGTTTATATCTTAGTTAAGAAATATTATATGGCAAAGGCTGTTACAATAACAAACGTATCTGCTGAGACCAAAATTTTTAAATATTAAGTGAACAGTTAAGGACTTATTAACTTTTAAAAATCTGATATATACATACCAGTGTTTCAGTTGGAGTGCTGAAATACCACACAAATCCAGGAGCTAAAGAGGAGAACAGCAACACACTGATACATCTTCTTTTTATTGTTGCAGGGTGATCTCTAACATAAAGTAATTAAAATAGAATAAATCAGTTTTAAATCCACATAATTTTCCAAACATTTATACCAAAAACAAGCACTGTTTATCAGCCAAATTTTAAATTTTGCGCAGGAAAAGTTTAGTGAAAGCCATGTTATCACTTTCTAATGTACTTCCTGTTTGTGCCACACTCATTTCCTATCTTATACAAAAACCAGCAAACTAAGCAAACTAAGTCTTAGTCTAAGGTAAAAAGAATTAGTAAGGTACTGTATTTTTCTCCTAACAGCATAATCATAATAACAAAATTATTTTAATCATCAACAGGCAGGCTACAGGTAAATTAAATCAAATTAAATATACCCCTTTCTTATTTTTATTAATAACATGAATCACATTACTGGAGGACTGTGAAATAGATCAGCACATATTGATATAATCCTAAATAAACTTTGCAAATGCCTTTTTAATCAAATCTGAATCAACCAGATGCAGGATAAAGAATAGTGTTAACATGTATTTATATAATCTTCGTATTCAACTAATTTATGATGCACTTACTCAGTAGTTATTTGTACATTTAAATGAAATACTTTTACATGAACACCTGGTGATTAAACGAATCTAAGTAGGAGTACACAAATAGTCAAAACAGTAAAATGCTACGTATAGGTATGAGAAATGTACGAGGACTGTCAAACAAGTTATATGATCATAACTTTATTCAAACAGTGCAAAACTTCGATATATTTGTATGCATTGAAACTTTTAGTACAACGAGATCAAAAGTAACCCTGCCCACAAGCACTCACAGCCACTTCTTAAGATTAAGAAAGAAAAGAAAAGTGAAGGGTAGACCCTCTGGGGGAATTGTAGTATACTACAAAAAGGAACTTAGCAGTGCACTGACATTGTTGAATAGTAAAAGTGAGAATCTGCTGTGGTTGAAGCTATCAGGCACTGAATTTGGCCTCGAAAATGATATTTTCATATGTGCAGTCTATTTAAAACNTAATCAGTTTGAATAGGTTGTCTTGCCTCACTTAAAAAGGGAGTTGTTCTCCACACTGGTCGTTACCTAACTTATGCTCAGTTTGAATAGGTTGTCTTGCCTCACTTAAAAAGGGAGTTGTTCTCCACACTGGTCGTTACCTAACTTATGCTAACCTACTTTGTACAAATATGGTTTTAATAAATCGCCAAAACTATGACACTAGTGAACATTGTGTATCAAACATTTTGATACGATTAAATAAATGTGCAAGAAGGATTACGGAATGAGTTACTATTTACCTCCCCCCACGCGCCCTTCAAAAAATGCTCTTTTGATTTCGAAATGAATTTGTTTTTAACGCAAAGAAGTCCAATACCCCTTTCACGACTCAGTCATTGTACAGCATGTTATATTACTCTTTACCCTTTTTATTTGACACTGTCTCTGTTTCTCTCCCCTTTTACTTTCTCTTGTTAGAAGGAGGGCAAATAATTAAGCATTCAAAATATGCATCACCAATCTTCAGAAAAGAATGAGTGAGTGAACCATTGGGCTGGCCCACAACGTCCGACACAGCAGAATAAATTCAATAACAGCTTTCACAGATTTAACTGCAGTTAGCTGTACAGCGTCACTATATACATAATCCGCTGCACGCGCGAAGCTGTTGAACAAAAGGATAGTTCTCTATGGAAGACCTTTTGTTTACTCTAAGGGGGCGTGCCTAACCAGGCGACAAGAGGATTAGGCTAGTCACTATATTCCGTCAAATTCGTTTAGCGACCCTATCATTATCACACTCCCTCTATATAATTGTATCTAATCTTCTTACGTTAGATGGAAAAAATGCACACATATATAATCTTATGACTGTATGTATAAATCTTGGAAAGAGCATCAATAACAGAAATCTTAAGTGACCAAGAAAGAATAGACAACAGATTGAAAACAGTTTTGAGTGGGAAAAAGTGGAATGAGGAAGCTCAGTCAAGGAAATCTGCATAAAGAAACAAAATGGAGGATTACTACTCAGTGCTTGGAGTAAACAAAGGATGTAAGACTGAAGAAATAAAGGATGCTTTCATCACAAAGGTTAGTGAGTTGAATGAAACAAACTCTAAGGACATATTACAGACAATCAGTGAAGCTTACTATACTCTAGTTAACCCAGACGACAGAAAGAAATATGACTTAGAACTGGGAATAGCAAGTAAACATGACTTTGATTACAGCGAGCAATATTATGGCCCCAACATTGTAGCTGTCATACACAATGCTCAGTGTGCCACAGTGGGAGTCAGCACTGTGAGTGTAGTGAAAAGAATGTTAGAGACTTCAAGACTACACCACAAACCTTCAGTAGATTGCGAAGTAAATTCTGGAACAGGACACCAGCTTAAGTTTAACTACTTCTCACCAAACGGGATTGACCTTGGAAGCATCTCCCTAACTTTTTATCACACAGCAAAGTCAAAGAAAGTTCATGTACAGGGAGCAGCATATGTGGTGTGGTTAGCTCTTGACTACCCAAAAATTGTCTTACTATCATCAGCACCAAAGCCTGTTCAACCCGGCATGGATGAAACCAGGGTAAAACACAGTGAAGAAAATAACAACACAGAGACTAAGGGAGACCTTACCGGAGATTGGGATCAAACCACGCCAAAGAGAGTAGCAAAACCAAAAAGAGTCTCACAAGCTACACCAAAGGGTTTTAAAACCAAGACCGGCCCAAATTTGAAGGAGAAGAGAATAGAAAAAGACATAAGCAAAGTACAGGAGACATTACAAACAGTTGAAAATCAGTACACTCAAATTCTTTTACAAACATCAGACCTCAAGAGGCAGGAAACCAAATCTAGCAACAATGACATAAAGGAAATCAAGGAGCAATTATCCCAATTAACTTCTCAGATGCTTAAGCTGACAAAAGCAGTGGACAATCTGCATACCCAGCTGTCCTCTCTAAACAACAAGGGCATTGAAATGGGAACTCAGTGTGATCCTCCAACAGCCACAGATAATAGTACTCAATGCGAGATAAACATCACTGATAGCTCAACACAGTGTGCAAAACCTTCCTACAGATCAGTGGTAGCCAGCACCAACACAGTTACTGTAAGAACAATGGCTGTTAACACCTTTACCCCACCGCCTTAAACCAGCACAGGTAGTGCAAACAAAGCAATAATGGAAACAAAGGCTACTAACACCACACTACCACAATCGGATGTCAGGAGTAGAAACAATGAGACAGGTGACAATGCTGCAGATCAAATTAGTGAAACTGAAGGCATAGTAACACCAACACATAGAGGTGAAAATGACAGCGAGCAAATTACCATTGTGAACAATTGCAACCATCTGGAAGCAACATCCAATGAGCAGAAAAATACAAATGCAATAGAGCCTGGAGTAAATGAGGATACCCCCACCACAGAGATACCTACGACAACAGGTACGGGTACTCAAAGGCACACTAGAGTACAGGTAAAGGAACCGTGTGAAAATATGGTAATCTCAGATTCAATCGGAAAAGATCGTGTAAGCCAAAAGCTTTTCCCACGCACCCACAGTAAATGCATTGCTCTGAATGGCAAAGTAATAAAGGATGCGCAACAGGTGGTAGAAGAGAGAGACTTTGGCCAACCAAAATCAATCACGTTTATCATGGGCTCCAACAACGTAAACAGCCACGAACAGCCGAAGGATATCCTGTGCCATATGCAAGAACTGGTCCTCACTACACGAAGGAAGTACAAGGACACAAAAATCATAATCTCAAGTATACTCCCCAGGTGGGACAACTGGGACTTTAACAAAAAGGCGGTGGTTACAAACAGTTGTATTAGTAAATACTGCAACACCCTGGACAATGTGTGCTACATGTGGAATGACAACATAGTCTGCACAAGAAGTATGTTCCATAGAGATGGAATGCACCTAAACCAAAAAGGAAATTCAGCACTGGCCTGTAACATTAAGGCCAAAACTGGACATCCATACTATGCCAGTGCAAACACCCGAAATGATACGCAAACTGCCCAACACCTAAAATGGGATCATGGGAGGCACCCAAGCATGCGCCCACAAGGGAATCAAAGGACCCGCCCAAACAACGCACCCCCAGAAAACCTGCAAAGAGACTGTCATGCACAGGATGCTCCAGCATACAGAAGCCAGGAAAAAGACATCCAAAATGAACTAAGAACTCTGTACGATTCCCTGAACAAATTGATAAGCAAACTGGAATAAAGCAAGGGGTTTAGTTATGAAAAAGGTATTGCAACATGAAGCAGTTTGTAAGTACAGATATTATTTACTTAGTACATTGATTAAAGCAAAAATGCACTTAAACTTTGAAGATCAAATTAAAACAAGTATTCTATTTCAAATAGCATTTTTAAGGATACATATTTGCTGGTATGTGTGGGTATGTTTATATGGTATATATGCGTATATGCGATTATATATATATATGTATATTATCTGCCTTATGATTCTATAGAATTCTTCAAAGGAAGTTTACTCGGAAAAGAATTTATCGTCAATTAAGAAAGGAAAACATCCTATAGAGGATAAAGAATAGTGTTAACATGTATTTACATAATCTTGGTATTCAACTAATTTATGATGCACTTGCTCAGTAGTTATTTGTACATTTAAATGAAATACTTTTACATGAACACCTGGTGATTAAACGAATCTAAGTAGGGGTACACAAATAGTCAAAACAGTAAAATGCTACGTATAGGTATGAGAAATGTAAGAGGACTGTCAAACAAGTTATATGATCATAACTTTATTCAAACAGTGCAAAACTTCGATATATTCGTATGTATTGAAACTTTTAGTACAACGAGATCAAAAGTTACCCTGCCCACAAGCACTCACAGCCACTTCTTAAGATTAAGAAAGAAAAGAAAAGTGAAGTGTAGACCCTCTGGGGGAATTGTAGTATACTACAAAAAGGAACTTAGCAGTGCACTGACATTGTTGAATAGTAAAAGTGAGAATCTGCTGTGGTTGAAGCTATCAGGCACTGAATTTGGCCTCGAAAATGATATTTTCATATGTGCAGTCTATTTGAAACCAAACAGTGGCAGAGCCGATGAAGCCACCCTTGACATATTAGAAAATGAAGTAGCTTTCTATCAGCAGCAAGGTAACCTATGCCTCGTGGGAGGTTTTAATGCCCGTACAGGTGTCCTCCCTGATCTCATCAAAAATGATAATGATTTTGGGATAACAGTGCCTAACAGTTATGCCACAGACAGTCAGATAAGAAACAGAAGCAA